TCTCACCCTCTGTGTGTCTGTCTGTTCTTCCTTTCCCTTCTCCTCCTCCTAATCCTGATGCTGACAGACAGACAGACACACTGTCTGCATGCACTTCAGACCTTCTTTTCAAAGAGAACCTTGGAAGGAGGGCTCTAGAGAAACCCTGAATAAGACATCAAATCTGTTTTTTTTTTTGCCCTCCACATCTTGGCCTGTGTGTTGTTCTGATTCGAACAAATACTGTCATCCCTGTAAGATTTGTTTTCTCCCTGTCTGCAAGGCCTTGCCCTTATCAAACCTCTTATTCTATTTACTTTTCTCCTGTCTCTTCCTTTCCAAACATGTTCTTTTTCGTCTTTTTACTCCTCGCCTCCTCTCTGTCCATTTTAAAATGTGTCTAATAATTGCTTTTACAATTATGTATCTTCCCTCAGTAATCACATCCCGGCTCAGGAGGGATTTCCTCTCAAACTCTGAAACCCCTTCATTTCATTGGAACATCTGTCTCCCCTCGACAGCTGTGTGATGCAAAGTGGCGGTTGCATTTTTACATATAACACATGCATCAGTTGCTCGGGGCTGCAGCGAGCGAGGCTGCTTGTTAAAGGTGTTGTGCCTGTCTACTCTAAAAGAAGTTGTTCCCATGGTAACTCTGCCAGGTCTGTTAATTGACTGTCAGAAAGTGTGATGCTCCATGATGAGAAAACAAATGCATATGACCGTCACTGCGTAGATAATCATATCACACAGCTGCCTCTAGAGATGACAGTAACAGCTATTTAATCAAAATGTTAATGATATGAGCTATAATGAAAGTGCAGCACCAGCAGACACTCACACACACACACACACACACACACACACACACACACACACACACACACACGCACACACACACACACACACACACACACACACACACACACACACACACACACACCAAAATGCATGGACGTGTCAGAAGTTTAAATGTGCAAGGGGTTTTAACTGAGGATGCGTGATGTGGTGAGTATGGTTTTAAAAAAGCCGTATAATCCAATTCAATATGACAGCAACATAACCTACCCACACATGGATACCAGTGACGCACAGCGCCAGTGTGAAAATCTATGTGGGATTGTTGTAGAGAGAGCAGGAGTGTGTGTTTGCATGCAAGTGTGTGTCTCTGGCTGCCTGAAGGCATCATGTTCCTGTTCTCAAATAATCCACTCTGCAGAATGAAACCTTGAAACAGACACTCGTTGAAAATGGATGAGAGGCAGCGAGGCACAGACGCTTTCTGACATGAGGAGTTATGATTCTGTTCAACAGGCTTGGGTCCAATCATGGCTACCGGAGACAGGGAGAGAGAGAGAGAGAGAGAGAGAGAGAGAGAGAGAGAGAGAGAGAGAGAGAGAGAGAGAGAGAGTAAACCCTGAATCACAAAGCCCTGAGTTAACAATTCAGACCAATAAATGCACGAGGACACATTGTTGACTAAATGATTTACTCCTTACCCTCGTCATAAAGTCAAGCCCACATTTTAGATTTATGTTACCTTTGAGCTCCCTTTGAAGCACAACCCTCCTTTCAATACTCTACCTGTGGATCAGGTACTCAACAGAAATCTGTCTCATGCACATGAATGAAAATGAAACCTAGCGTCAGTATTTCATTCTTGTGAACCATTACCACCACAAAATTATACATTATACAAGTACTGTATTAAAAGTTGCATCCTATGTCCTCAAAGCATACAAAATAAAAGTCCTGAGATGACAAAAATAGCTTTTGTCAGTGAAACATTTCCAAACTGAAGTAACTGCAGATGTACAGTATCACAGTGTAATAAAAAGTTTTAAATCCACCCTCTGGAAATGTTGAAGAGTGGAGGTAAAATACTTTACATTGGTATCATTAAAAGTTGACTGAAGCAATATTGTTTCCCGGAAGGCATCGTAGTTTATTGCAGCTTAAAAGTCTGACTGAGAGTTGTGCTGGAGTTTACAGTGTAATAAAAAGTTTTAAATCCACCCTCTGAGTGGAGGTAAAATACTTTACATTGGTATCATTAAAAGTTGACTGAAGCAATATTGTTTCCCGGAAGGCATCGTAGTTTATTGCAGCTTAAAAGTCTGACTGAGAGTTGTGCTGGAGTTTACAGTATTTCCTCTGTGAGCTAAATTGGTGACTGCTGTGTATAGAAAACTATGGTTGTCTTCATAAAACACGAGTTAACAGGGATGAAACAGTATATAATCTGCTCAGGTAGCACTGCAGCTTTGAAGTACAGAGAGAGAGAGAGAGAGAGAGAGAGAGAGAGAGAGGTTTGGGACCAGAGAAAAGAGAGGCAGGCATGTTAATCTCTGAAAAGCACACCTCTGTGCATGCAGGAATAACCCATCACATTACAGACAAACGCTGCCTGCTTCTTTCTTATCTCTCCTCTCTTCCTGACAGTCCCTGTTGCTGCATGTCTGCTCGACTCCATGTCCCTCCTCCACCTGACATCCACAGCCTTACTTTCCCTGGTTTTATTATTTGGACAACTTGGATGAATTTGTAGCCTGGACTACATATTCTTCTCTATAAGCACTGAGCAGTTCAAAGAGAATCTGGCTGTGTGTTCGCCTGTTAAGCAGACTCAGTGTCTTGTTAACAAGGGCCCTCCTCAATTACTCTCCATCCAGACACTTGCTAAAATAGCCACAGAGCCCTTCCTCCTCCTCCTCCTCCTTCATCCATCCACCTTTATTATTTAGCACCATGGGGATCTGTGTTGCCATGGATTCTGTTGTCATGGCTACAAACAACTACGCAGATGTACAGGAAGTGGAGAAGGACGGAGGGGAAGGGGAGGGCTACTGGGGCCGATAAAGCTTCACCCCGGCATGGTGGAGATCCAGCCGTGATATGTCCGGGGAATCAGGGCGAGGGGTTAAAGACGGTGAGGTCACCTGTTGTTTGTTTAAAGGACAGGTAAAGGTCTTGGCAAAGCCTCACGAGGCACATGAGACATAAAGAGACATGTCTGGTATTGAAGCAGGTTTTCTTTGTGGTGCTCAGATTGTCTCAAAGGGGACATTTCAAAGCATTTTCTGATCTTAGCTTGAGCTCGACAACAACACTCTTCACAGATTTCAAAAGCTTTTCTTTGTATTAGTCTTTTAGCACACATTCACCATGCAAAACATGTCAAGAAAACTGTGATTCCTCTACTCTCATTGCAGCCTTGATGAGCGCAGGGTGATTTACATAGGGGCAGATAAGAGAGAAGTTTTATCACTGTTGATGGACAGCTAAGAGAATGAAGTGCCCATGAAAAAAATGTGCGTCTTTGATTTGTAAAGAATTGCAGAGACAATCCAAGGCTCTCGTCAAACACTTTGTTCTCAGTGATGTACAAATCAGCGCTAAAATAATGAGTCATTCCTTTTATACTCTCTATTTGACTGGGGGTGATCTGAGGACAAAATACCTGAAATTCCCTCTGATCAGGAGAAAGTGCCTCTGATAGTGATTTCTTAATGACATCATGCTAATGAGGGAGTCATTTATTGAGCTGTTCCATCAATGATGGCTCAATAGGCCTTAACTGATTTTCAAAACAATTACTCCTCCACAACAACCACACATGGACCAAAAGGAACCTTTCGATAAAACAGTCAGAAACACTCACACATTGAAAAAATACGGTTATGCAAATAATTTTGAAATTGAACAAGAACTCAAAGCAGAAAATTAAAATTGAGTGCCAAATAAAAAAAATGTATTAATATATTTTTTTTCAATATTTTGTTTGGAAATATCTTTCAGATTTCTTCAACGATTCCCAAGTACCCCGCCCATTTAAACTGAAAGCTTTTCATAATGTTGTCTATAGCTCCACCTTGTGGTTTAAAGACAGAAGTGAGGAGGGTCTCTACATCAAGTTTTGTTTTTTCTCAATTTTTTAGCCTCTTAGAAGACCCCTCCCATTGTCTCTTTTTTTTCCATTTTCCCTCTAAATAACAAACTAAACTTCCCCATTTATCTGGTGCATTTTTTTTTCTCCAGGTCAAAGTTTAACTGACATACCCTACCTGTGTGATTTGATAAGACTATGTGACACAGAGCAGCTCTAATAAATAGTTTTTTTAGTTTTCTGACCACTCAAAGCACTTTTGTACTACATGTTAAATTGACCTATTCTGATGGCGAAAGACACCATGTAAAGTTATCAAGTTTTTAGTCTTTTGACTCCTCAAAGCTTTTTACACCACAGGTCACACTTACAGTTGCACACACTGACGTCAGAGGCTGCTATGTAAGGAGTCTCTCAGTAAGTTATTAATCCATTCATACACATTCAAACGCTGCTGTTGCAGCAGCGGGAGCAATTTGGTGTTATAGTGGTGTGAATATTGTAATAGTTTTTTATATCACATTGATAATCATTAGCAATTGGCCTACAACAAGCCTCAGGAGCTGGGATCAAGCCTCCAGGTTCACAGTTTGCCAACTCTACTACTAAGCCACAAGGGGGCCCAATACACACAGTGATAAATGAACTGCAGCAGATTTTATGGGATGAACTCCGTCTACGATTCAAGAACTTGGCAGTTAACGCTTCCTATGGTGTTGATGTATTCACAGTGCATTAAAGCAGACCAGGAAAATCAATGACTCCGCGAGCAGTATGCAATAGAAGTCAGAGTACGCCAAGTCACTGTAGTTTTTTCTGTGAATATTGAAAGAGTTGTTCATAATATAATCTGTAATCTAAGGATGCTAATTCTGACAAATTTGTTGTGCACATTTACACTTTGCCCTCTTGCTGCTGTCTATTTCTGTGGGTGCAGTTATGTGTGACTGTCTTTAGGAATGAGCCAGACTATATTACACCCTGGATCCCTCCCTCAGAAGCTGTGCTAAAGTAACAGCTGATGTCAGTCCTGCTTAAAGACACACACACACGCACGCACGCGCGCGCACACACACAGACACACACACACACACGCACGCACGCACGCACACGCGCACACACACACACACACACACATAGTCTACAACCTGTCTATCCAGCATTAGGCCATTAGGCAGCAGCTTCAAGGGCACAGCAGAGTGGGGAGTACTCCTGCACCTCCCTCTCCCCACAACACCTCAACTCTTGGCACAGACTTCTCACCACGCTCACAGATCCACAACCCAAGACGCCAATCCCAAAAGTAAAGCAGGAAGAGGAGGGGAGGGCTGTTATCTAAGGCTCTCATCACCCCTATGTGTGCCTGGTTGGACCATGGAGCTGCACTGTCTTCCTACTGAGACCCCCACCACATCCAGTTCCTGCTCCATGGACCCCCTATACGACAACTGCCCACCTTTTGCCCAGCGAGGGAGGGCCAGGGAGAAGGAAATGGAGACTAGGGTTGTGTGCCCGGCTGTAACAAGACTCCCAGGCCCCAGAAGCCATCAGCCTGGTCTGGCCCCAGCTGTGGCTGAGGTTCCCACACTGGTCAGAGGGAGTCTAGGGACTGGCGCCTGGCCAGATCACAGCTACTGCAGCTGGAGAGGAGGCCTGGTAAGAGCAGGCTGGGAGGCAGAGCTGGCTCCAGAAGTAAACAGAGGGAGAGGAGGAGACAAAGGAGCAGGAGAACAGGGAGGTAGCTGGGGAGTTCATCCTAAACACAGTCCAAAGCCATCTCAGAGTGAGGAGCACAGGAGCGCTCTCTCAGTGTATGATAACCTCCCCGAAGCAGTCACTCCAGACAGCCTCCAGGAGGTGTTTGACATGGAAACGGGCATCACGGACCCCCTGCAGGGGCAGATATATGGAGGGTGGGCCTCCGAGCAGGGACTGACAGAGGATGACAAAAGCACCTGGTCCTCCTGTGAGATCATCCTTGCTGAAACTGGTCCCAGTAATCAGGACCAAAATCCAGACGAGGACAGGAGGCTTGACCAGGAGCCAGAGCTGGACTCAGGATCCTCGGATCCCTTGTCACCTCCTCAACATATTTCAGTATGTTCCTCTCAGTTGTCCCAAACTGAGAGCCAGATTCTGTGGCCCCCAGCTGAAGCCCAGCAACCAGAGCTCCCATCCTGGTCTCCCAGGGTGCCCCCTCCAGTGCCTTTGGCTGACCCCTCGGCCAGCGCCCTCCGCAGCCTCCTCACCAACCTCCAGCAGCAAATAGGGAGACAGAGGGAAGAGTATGAGGACCGAATAAACAGGTAAAGTTACATTTCATATGTATTACATTTTAAGCTCATAGTGCACTTAATCATTTTACAGAAATCATCAGCATTTTGTTTTGTTCTAGATTTAATTTGCTAATGCTCCACACTTTAGTAAAACACTTTCAGTTCACTGAGTTGCCTGTGAGAATTAATTCAGCCCTCGGTGTATTTACAGAGAAGGGTCACAATGTTCCCGGGCCCAGAGACTTTGTGTCCACTCAGCTGTGCTGCTCTGGTCACCCTGCTGACCCCGACGTTCACCCTGCATCCTGTTTAGATTTAGTAGACTCTATGAAACTTCTTCAGTGACGATCTTTGTTTAGATCTACGGCTGTACAATGATTATTATCTGAGTTGCTTTTAGTCACATTCTCTTTATTTCACCTCTGGAAATCCAAGTCTTTTGAAATACTTGCATAACTGTGGTTTTCCACTGCCCTTTGACACACATTTACAATCATTCCAATTGGTAAATGTGTTTTTAGTTTGCACAGTCAGGGAGCACAGCCTGTGTGTGTGACCTATAGACACAGTTCATGACACTGGAAAGAGCTAATTTAAGGGGCCATGCTGCTGACCTAGACACAACACATACCTCATTTACACCTGATAAAGATAGAGCGAGCCTCTGTGTTAGGTCACTGAGTTTCTTTCAGATAGCTATAGAGCATAAAATGAGTGTGATACAGAAATTTCACAACACATAATTAGCCACCTTTTTCAATGATTGCAGGCATCAGGAACTAAATTAGCAAAAGCAATTTACATGTAACTGTTTTACCAACAAGCACAGTACTTACCTTTACTTACATGGGTAGAAAAGCCAGTTCTCAGCCTTTTTTTCCTCACTCCCATTCACTTCCATATTGTTTCTTCTCCTCCGTGTGTCATTCCCTTCAGTCTAGAACAAAGAAATGAAGAGCTGCAGTTGGAGGTGGTTCGGTTGAAAACGAACATGGCACAGCAGCGGCACTGGTACCAGGTCGTCCAGGCGAAGATCGTAGAATCTGAGAGGGCCCGGGCTGCTGCAGAGCTACGCAATGCAACTCTGCAGAGGGAGATGGAGCAGTTCTTCGATACCTTTGGAGAGCTTAACAATGAGGCAAAGAAGACGGAGTGTATTGTCAAAAGCTTCTGATACAAATAAATAGGAATAGTGTGTTCTTATGGACAGTGTGCCCGGAGGACAAATGGCAAAAAGACTGTCTAGAAAGTGAAGGCTTTATGCTGTCATCAAATATGGAAATATTTACCTTATTAATAGAGAAAGGTTTTTAGTTAGAAACTATCTGAGAAATAAAGACAACACTCAAAGTAAATGAATCACTGATGTCCACTTTATTAGTTGTGTAGTTGTGTAAGGGCAAGAGATGTTGGCTAAGTGATTATATTGTAATCACACAGGACATCTATGAAAATAAAGGAAGAAACAAAAAGGACAAAAATGTGAGACTGACAGTGTGTATAATGAAGCTGTTTTTTTTTTTTAACATGGTAAACATGAGGAGGTCTTGAGCACAGCTATGCTCAGTCCTTATCTGATAAGATTTCTTGGAGTGCATCAGCCACTCCTCTTAAGGCATGACTGAAAGAATAAGGTCATGGTTTATAAAAGGAAAATATAGTGTTCACAACATGGTGCTACAAGTCCCCAGTGACTCCGTAGTGTCATATTTCTGCATGTCCATCACAATGTGCAATCAGCTCTGCAAAAAGCAGCTCTGCAGTCCATAACCAAGGTCCATCTTTGAAGTTTCCGTCTTGACTGCCAAGGTCTAAATTTTCATTCAGGACTCCACAGTCTCATCCTCAATTTAAACCACAACATGTCCACTTTCTTGAGGGGGCCATCGTCCTCGCTTTATGTTGGCTTTGCAAACAGGCGCCTGCTGTCTTTAAGGATGATTCAAAGCAGATTAAGAAAGAGAGCGCTAAACAGTACATTTGGATAACACACACACGGGCTTAAATGGCAAAATTACAAAGAAAAAAAAAAAAAAAACATCTGCACCAAACATGATTTCATAACCATCAAGGTACTGTGAGTTAAAGAACAGACCTGAAGGACTACAGTAACTTATTGGCATATGTAATGCCTTCATGCAAGATAGACACCTTTATTTTTGTTTTACTGATGTTATACTTATTCTATGATGTCTGACTCATGACATGTTACTGTCTCAGTATTAATGGAATGGTTTAGAAAAAGAGCAGCCAATGCATTTGTTTATATTAATGAAATGCTTTGACAGAGGCTTGTTTCACTTGAACCTCATTGTGATTGTGTGCAATATTTTGCAAGGACACAAAAATAAATAGTATGTATCATTTTGCAGCTCCCAAACTTACAGGATTATGATGTTCTTTTGAAGAACACATTGTTAGTCAGTACCGCGTGTCAAATGGGGGCAATTTAAAAATGTGGTTCAACATATATGTTGAGTTTATTAAAAGAAAAGAGCAATTTCATCTATTAGTATTTAAAGAGCAACTTTGAGTGGCCGATCATCTTCTTTACATACAGCACATTATATCAGGACATCCATCTGTAACACTGAAACAGCTCCCCCTAGTGTCAAGAGGAGAATCTGAAAGTCCACATCACTCAAGCCAATCCATTTAAAAACACTGTGCAGAAAGAACCTCTTCTGATATCTGTAAACTAGCAAAAAAAATGGATCAACCTTTGGGTGAGTGTTTGCTCATCAGATGGACATCAGATGGTGTGATCCACTTATGGTCAGCTTTTGTTCATACTGGCGTAACATGCATGAGAGAAGCAGGCAGCTGTGGTCTATGTTTAGCGTGTTTCTGCTCTAGTTTGACTACAATAATCTCTGATTTCAACTTGATATTTGCAACAACAACAAAAATAAAACCGTTAAAATACAGGCACGAGGAACAAACACCCTGAAAATCAATATGGACGCATACATCATCAAATATACTTAATCAGGCAAAACAATATCCACAAAGAGAAGAAGGATGAACCTTTGACCCAACAGGAATCTATACATAACAAAGTCTGAAGTTGAAGAAGACCAATAAGATCCATCACACAGAACTAAAATAGAAAAATAGACCTAGTTATTGAGGTTCAGAATAAATGATGAGAAACAGGACAAGAAGGGACAAATCAGATAGTATGGGGATGAGGCAGTAAAGAAAAGATGATTGTGTTTTGATCATTGGATGATGTAAAATGTGTTGGGATGACACTAATGCAGGCAGACACATATGGTCTACTGTGTTCACTGACTCTCGTCCAGCTGTCCCGTCAGTGTATCAATGCTGCTGCTGTCTGTGTCCGAGGCTAAGGTTTGCTCTGTGGACATGGACGAGATGTCGTTGGCCGATGAGGACTGTGAGGCTGAAGTTGACACCACGTCTAAAACATATCACAAAGCAGGAGAGAAACGACATTTAGGGAGCTGAACAATTTAGAATATTATTCATTTCACTGCTGGTGAAAGTGAAGAGGATGTATCTACATACCTGAGCAGTCTTCTTTCATCAGCCCATTCTTGTTCCTCTCTTCCCAGTCAATCAACTCTTCATAAATCAGTTCTGTTTACATTTTTTTGAAGAGAAGTCAAGAAATTTAAAATCATTTGTGAAATTAATGTCTCAGATTTTAAATAGTTCCTGATAAGATTTGAAATAGATCCTGATATTAGTTGTAAGACATGTCATCAGTTGAAGCTAGTAAGTCTGACTGTATGTTCCTCATGTTAAAATATGAAATCTTTATTTCCTGGTTTGGATGCAGGATTTTATTTCATGAGAATGGACAATTACATGTGAAACACGTGTCTTAGACAAACAGTTCACAATAACATCCCAGATTGACAAAGAAAAGATCTGTCATCTGCAGGATGAAATACAGATGTGATAAATTTGATTGATCGCCCAGAGGGGAAATCCTGTTTAAGCAGCTCACAAAACAAAAACATTAGTAAACGAGTGATACAAATAAATAAACACAGGGGGCCAAAGGGTTCAATAATAATCACTACACCAAAAAATCCTAATTCCTCAGCAGCATACAGCGGAGCTGGAAACAAATGAACTTTAATATTGAGAGGAAGCAAGGGAGTTGATGGATTTGTTTTTTAAAGCCCTCCTTGGTAGCCTTCACACTGTTTGAAGTGTTTCCATATTGCTATAAATACTTTCTGGATCTTCAATTGCTTTGCACAACCCATTACATGTACAGCATATCTATGTATTGATATGTAAACTTAATTCTTAACAGGGTTTCATTGAGCTGCCTGTGACGTAAAAAAAAGTTAAGGTCGTCCAGCTGTACTGCCGATAAGTTTCCCTAGAGGGCAGTGCATCCTACCTTTCCATTGCTCGATCGTGTGCTCTCTCTCTTCCAGCTGCTTGTCTGAAATCTGAGGAGGAGGCTGTAAAAAGAGGAAATACATTCATCAGCCGCTGCATGCATATTGTGAAACATCACTGAAACCGACTGCTCACCGCATCAGCCTCTCCAGGGTCATACCACACATGTATGTATGGGTGATTGAGGGCTTCTTCTACAGAGATCCGGCTTTCAGGATCAATGACCAGCATTTTGGACAACAGGTCCCGGGCTTGACCTGCTGTTATGATAAAGTAGAAAGGGCAGTGTTACAATGGAGAGAGGCCCTTGACATGACTTCATTAAAGAGATCTTGATGAGAACAGTTAACATCCCCCTTATGTGTTTGGTAGCATTTCTGGGATTGACAAAATTTGTTTGCTGATTTCAGGGATGTGAAGTCTAAACCTTGATGCCAAAGATAAGAGAAGAACATTTGATCTAAATCTTCTCTGAACTACCTTTATAAAGATTCCAGTTTTCAGCTTTAGTGTCTTTTGTAAATTGTTTATTAAAAACTTGTTTCAATATTACAATACAGAAACATGCCTGTTTAACCAAAATCTAGACATCCTGGCAGTGTCCTTTGTAAGATTTAAAAAATGAAATCTGGCATTCTTTTAAAACTATCTATGCTATGAAACTGTAATTTATCTATTTAAAGTTTGACAACTGTGTTTTCACGTCTTACTCTTGAGTTTGTCGTGTTCTGAGTCAGAAGGGAATGCCCAGTCTGGGAAAAGCTCAGCAAAGCTGACGCCAGGATACTGTGGCTTGTTCATCACATAGTTCCTCACGGTCTCCATCAGCCGATTCATAAACTCCAGACTGGGTGTGCCCAGAACCTCAATCACCTTATTCCACTGGTCAATGTCTGGACATGATTGTTATGGAAAACTCTGCTGCATTATGGGCATGAACATATGCCAGCTATTGCAAAGGAAAGACAACTTTGATAAGGCACAGAATCAGGCAACAAATGCATAAAAAAAGCTCTTACAAGAGTCCAGGCTGGCGGCTCTCTGATGCTCGACTTGACTTTGAACTACTGTAATTAATCAAGTTAGCATACTAATATGCTCACTATGAGGGTGCTGGTATGCTGATGTTAAGCAGGTATAAGAGTAGATTGATCTGAAGTTAGCATAGCATGTTAGCTGGATGACATTTTCTAATAAGCAGAAAACTGCTGAGGCAGAGTTTGGCAGGTAATAGGTCACTATTACTAATAGTCAGTTCTGTTATCCACAGTATCAGATGGACCAAGAGCAAGAGGATAACCAAACTTATTTAGAATATACTGAGGGTAAAATGAAAAGTCATCGAGCTGAAATCTCCAGAATTGTTGCTACTCACTAAAAGCCACAGATTGTAACATCACAGTAACGAGTGACATAGATAGAATTAACATGCTATTAGCAGCCCTATTCATATTGCCAATTCATGTTGTGAGTTTTTAGGACACCTGTAACGTCTGGAATTCATTATGAATATTCAGGGATGTGTAATATGGGTACAAAGTTGTCCCACCTCTGGTCCCGCATCCGAAGTAGAAACAGAAACCTTAGAGGGGCGAGGCGGACTCAGTGTAAGACAGCAGAGCCAGGGGAGAGAACAGTGCTTTGTGTGTGCCTGTCTGAGTGTGTGTGTGTGTGTGTGTGTGTGAGGAGCCCCTGCTGTTTGTTGATGATGAATGAGACAGAGAGTGGTGAAGGATACGGTCAGTGCCCTGGAAGATGACGCCGCCCTTGACCATCTCTCCCATGATACACCCCACTGACCAGATGTCCACTGGGAACAGAGAACACACACACACACACACACACACACACACACACACACACACACACACACACACACACACACACACACACACACACACACACACAGAAAAACAAACACAAAAAAAAAAACACAACACAAACACACACACATACACAACAATACATATACACTGTAAAAACAAAACATTGAATTCAGTATAACTGTGGTTATTTTGATCCATCTTCAACTGTGGCCAGCTGCTTTCATCAGATTCATCTTCAGGCTGGCTTTCTTTTCACTCTCTGGCTTTGGAAGCAGACGCAGCCATCCAGGCCTTTCTCCTCTCTTCTGCAGCTCTGCTTATCAGTTTACACAGCTGTTGCTGTCTCGCTCACTTTCCCTGAGTGTGTGCTCAGCAGAGTGGGATGTAGTGTCTTTCTCACTCTGGGCTGAGCTTATATGTGCAGCAAACAGCCATTAACTCCCTCCCTCTATTTCAGTTTCACAGGACCTGAAAAAGCTCTGATAATGTTCCCAGATCAGACAGACCAGTGTCAAGTTTGCAAACACAATGCATATAAACCATAACTGTAAACTTTCGTCAAGAAACCTTAGTCACTCTGACGGCTCAGACCGGGCAGACTTTCCCAACATAAGAGGGTTCTGTATATTTCCTGTTTGTAATCCTACCTCAGTTGATCATTGATGCACCAGCTTTGAGTGAAGTTAGTTTAGAAAAGACATCAACAACTTGAAAAATGATGCCAACGAGTTGCACAAACAGTCAACATTAAGTCTCATTCCAGGCCTGTATGTCTTTCTATAGATTTTGATCTTAGCAGTGAAACAGCTGTTCAAATCAAACTACCACGTCTTATTTCATCTCATCTCTCTTGAATATTTAGAAATTAACTAGAGAAAAATAGCCCAATACAATAGCCCCAATACAACATCCACTAAGGATCTCCTGCACCACTCAAGTAAACAATTGATAAGAGACAAAGAAGAAGGGATACAGTCCTCTCCAGGAAAGAGGAACTTGTGAGCGATCAATTCAGCCATAATGCAGCCGACAGACCACAGGTCCACTGCTATAGAGTAGTGGTAAAAACACAAATAACACAAAATGAAACATGGGCTGCAGGCTATTTATATCATTAAACTGCTTTTGAAGTAGAAGAGTCACAGTGTGTGCTGCCTGAGAAGTTGGGTCTGCTCAGTTTGTTGCTGTAGGTTTCCTGGTTTTGGAGACGGAGACATTTTTAGCAGATAATAGTGATAAAAATAACTATGATGATCCAAAGTGGTTCAATATGGCTCTGGCACCTGTAGTGCTTGGATCCCAAATAACCAGCTAGAGTGTGACTGATACCTGATCAAAGGTTTGTGCCTGTGAACTAGAGGCAGTTTTTTTTAAGCCTTATTATTATTATATTTAGCAGCCTGCGCCATCTGTTCAACTCCGATATGCTTCTTTGTTTACTTAAATCCTGCTGTGTATTGTACACAACAGTGTCTGTCAAACTAATGATGCAACTCTTAGATAATTACCTCATTTGTTCCTCTGTGTTGAATTATATATTCTTTTTATTTTATATTTAAATGAATGTGCAATAAACAAATACCAAGCAGTGATGATGACTCATTCTTCCACAGGCTGTCGTCATGTTTGATGGTGCACAGGGCAGTGTCAGTTTACCACAAAGTTTAATCATTGACTCGACCAGAACCCAAAGACTTCCATCTTTCTGCTTATGTTTATATCATTTCTGACCGTTTATAATCTTTTTCCTATAAACACATGCTAGTATCTGATCGGTATTTTATTTCATTCAAATCCAATTATCACAGCATCTTTCTTGATACCAAATTCAAAAATGAAAGAAGCACTTTTGTATGACGTGGTTTAGCAGTGGATTTGTGACTTGTGTGCTATCATTTTAAAGGATTACATTCTGAGATGTCCTTACCATTCTCTTTGTACTTCATGCCCAGTATGACCTCTGGGGCGCGGTAGTATCGGGTCACCACGTATGGGGTCATCATGAAGTTAGTGCAGGCCGTCCTAGCCAAGCCAAAATCTAAGATCTTCAGAGTGCAGTCCGACTTCACTACAATATTACTGGGCTTCAGGTCCTGAGGAGACATATTTTATTTATTTGAATGAATCCATCATTGGCTCATAACTGTGGACGCAACAATCAGAGATTAGAGAGAAATAATGACGTTTTCATAATCACCACGATTGTTCTGCATACATTGTTTTCACTATGTACTTCTGTATAAAATCATGTGAACATTCTTTAGACATGATCGTGTGTTGTTTATTGATGCCTACTTAAGCATAAATAACAGTTATTATATTATATATCACAAAAGAAGAAAGAAAGAAAGATAAAGTGAAAAAGGATCAAATGAAAAAAGATAATCAAAGCTTTTGATTTGACTTTTAATGACTTGAGTTTTTCATTTTTATCTTTTTATTCTAATATTTAAAATGTAGTTTTTTAAGTGTTATTGTTTATATAACACTTAGATTAACTTTATTGATCCCCCAGGAAAAAATATTCCTCAAATGATGTGTTATTGTAATTAACTGCCCTCCATGTCTGTTTTCTAATGATACTGTATATTATTATTATTTGATCTAATCATACATGTGGCTTGAGACAAGACCCTGTTATTGTTTTGTTTCAAGTATTATTGAAAACAAAAGGAAATGAGAACATCTCTCATTCAGTGAGTCAGTTAATTAGTGTTGGAAGTCTACAAGCTCCTGACGTTGTGTTATGTTTATGTCTTTGATCTGTTTTATCAACCTAAAATGCTGAGTGAATATCACTGAGTTATCACGCATTACTTTTACTTTGGCATGTAGTGCTGGGTGGTGATCTTGCAGAGGCTGCATCAAGTTTGACGTGTTAAACGCTTTAGCCGCAACTTTATTCCAGCAGGTTCTGCAGACGTTGTCTTGAATAATTCCCTGATCATTCTTGGTGTACCGAGCACCCCCAATGCCAACTTCACTTGTTTTTTTTGTGTGGATAAGAAGCTATACTGCTTGGTCCTGCTGCCATGGTAAAGCTAATGTGGTGTACCCTCCACATCTCTTGATCAGCGATTGACATTAAGCTGGCTAGGTATCATTTTATTTCTGTTCAGTGCAGGTAGCGCAAAAAACACTGTACTGCTGGCCCTTTTTTTAAATGACAAACACCCAATGTAGCAGAGCCTTTGGGATTGAATAACAGTGATTTCTTGAGCTTCAGCAGTTGGGATAGGATTCGACTGGATAGCAGTTATTTTGGAGAAAGTATTGCCGTCAAATAGTTGGGCAAAAAAGTTAAAAGACCACGAACATTCTTCAAACATAAACAATGCAGTTTTAGAATAAAGCCATTCTCATCTGCTCTTGAAAATCTCCAAAAACAGGTAATACACTTTAAAAGTTTTGTAATACTTGATGTAATGACTCATCAGCTAGTCCACCACAAAATTCTGATGTCTGTTTATCAAACACATCTCCTAACAGCTGTGAAGTTAGTGTGTTCTCCAGGGTCAGCCAGGTCATTGAGTAATAGCAGGTGACAGTGATGTAGTAATCTTAAAATATTCAACCAAAAAAGGGAGTTGACCACAGCTTTTCATACTGAAAGACTCTTAAAGACATTTCTGCATTGGGTAAAAACATAATTATGTAGTATATATACATAAATAAACATATTCAAAGACTCATTCAGCCCACAGCAACATTATTGCTTGTCCAGTTACCCTGTGGATGATGCCTGCAGAGTGCAGGTGTCTGATGCCACAGAGGATCTGGTAGAGCAGATAGGACATCCTCTCATGGTCCAGGTCCATGTGGATCACCTGGCATAGGCTGGCATCCATCAACTCCATCACCAGATACCTAGAATATGTGTAAGGAATAACAAAGAACAGTAATTCAAGGATACATCAGTAAGAAATAACAAGAGGAACAGCCTCAAAGAAGTCCATTAAGAAATAAAGGAATTTATGAAGTGTAACAAACACAAAAGAGTAATTTAAACACAGAAGGATAGAAAGCAGGGCAGTGCAGTAGAGGAGGTTGACAGGTAGATGATGGAAACTGGTAGATGTAAGAAAACAAACAGAAGCTAAAAACTCTTAATTGAGTAGATGCTAAGAGCCAAAAGACCCTCCGCTGCCACTCACAGGTCATGGAATTCCTCCAGGGACTTCTGAGGCGTGAACACATTGATCAGACGAATGATCTGCAGGCAGAGACACAGGCCATTAGTCCACACTGTTACTCTACCATCTACATCCACTTCACCGTGGAGAGCTGGCCAGCTGAGGACAGAGAGCTCAGTAGATTTGTCATGATTCACTTGCTCTGCGCAGTAAATTATTTTTAACATAGCAGCAACCGACCCTCTCAATTTCTCTTTTTGTAGTTTAAACTTCATTTCTAAATTCTTTACCTCAGAGGACTAAAAACGTTCTTATAAGACACTGAATAGACATATTCAAAGAATTCAAGCAGCACTTTCATAAGACTTACAGCTGTTTTAACAACCATGTACTATTTAATACATAAAACAGAGTTAAATGATTTTTTTGTGTCGTAATACATTTACAAACGAGCTGAGACAAACATGAGGCCTTACATCTTTCAGTCAATAAAGTAAAGGAGGTGTATTTTTTATAAGTTAAGTTGTTTTGAGCCTCAGTTTATCTCTGTGTTACTACCCCGCCATGTCAACTGTGTAAAGAAACACTGTCGAGGGAATTATGAATTAACACCTTGGTTAGTTACTATGGTCAGAACCCTTTCGATTGTTGTGCTTAAGTCTCATATAGGCAGGAAATAAACTTTGCAACTTCATTTTGCATAGAACATGATCATTAATTTAGTCCTATCATCACTTACATGTTGATGGAAGCCATGAAAGGATCTCTTAATGGTTAGTATGAACAGTAGATATTATTAGACAATGCTGTTTCAATTGACATATTGGAACCTGATTATTGTTTTCTCAAGAGACATACTTTCAAATATATAGACACATTTTTTTTACATACTGTAAATCTTACATTTTTGTGGTTGACACATTTAAGCAGCACCAGCTCCCTGTAGGCACGCTTAGCATGAGTCTGGTTCTGGAAAGGCCGACACAGCTTCTTCACTGCTACCGGTATGCCAAGGACTGTATCTAGAGCAGAGCTGGTCAAACATTGTATAGAGGGAGGAAGAGAGACTAAGGTAAGCAAGGGAGAAAAAGAGGCATCACCCAGAGCACAGCTGTTATCTGACATCAAAAGCTTCTTAAAGAGGAGATTTACAGACATCTGGTGTTAAGGGGTTAACATCATTCTGGCTGGTATTCATTAGGCATCTTGCTTGAGATTTATGAGCTAGAGAGAACGACACGTTGGCAACATTGCCAAATTTAGCAACAGTATACTTAAATTCTGCAAGAGCTAACATGTTCATCTAATCAGGGGGGAGTTTCAGGATATTTACACCCTGGGCAGGTGACACAATAACAAAATCTTAACAAAATCAAGCCTCTCACCAAACAATGCCCTGTGCCCCAGAGCCGATAGCACGGAGCTGCTGGTAGCGCTTGAGTACAGTGAAGGTGGAGTCTCCCACCTGAACGCTGTAGAACTGGCTCACCGGCTCACTCATCCTGCTGTACAGTCAGGACCACCAGCACTGTCTGCAGAATGGGGGGGGGGGGCAAACACAAACACACACACATAAAGGTATGGTGAAAACAACAGATTTATCATTACAGAGGTAACATTGTGATGGAGCTTCAGTCCAGGCTCTAAATGTTTCGATATGTGTGTGATGGAGAACAGAAGCAGATGACAGCTTGGAGGTCTTCAGGCTCTCACTGCCATCTCTACACTCATGCTGACACGCACGCACACAACCATTTTCAGTTTCACATTAAGGATATGTGCAGCCATCAGCATCATCACATAGTGACTGATAAATGTAATAGTTGATGTGTTTGTTTTTGGATAGAAAAATATGTCTGTCATCATCGATTCCTCAGGCAGGAAGTGGAGGAGTATTATTCTTGGCCAGGGATTGTGTGTGTATGTGTGTGGGTGAGGGCACACAATTATGTAGCTACGCAACGGCGAGCAGTCACGGCTGTTTGTCATTCCTTTAGAAAACAGCCACAGGTTAAATGGAGTCTGATATTTGAGCTTTTCCTGTTTGACAGACAGCACATACCCAAGAACTATTAGGCTTTAATGGGCAGAGAGACAAAGAAAGAAAGAAGCAGCAGGGGAGACATTATGATGAACTAGAGACAAAAAGCACCTCTCGATGTGGGAATTGTAAAGACTCAGTGTCAGCCTTGACTCTGTGGCAGCATTATAAGGAACTGCAGTGAGTGAGCACTAAACTACATTAGTACACTACGTTAGTAAAGGAGCAGCTGTCAGACAATACATTTGACTGTTACTGCCTGCAGCCTGAAATGATGATGATTCCAGAGATTTAAATGTCATTGTCATAGTTTGTGGCCTTTCTTTCTTTCATAAAAGTATGACTGACACAGCAAACTGTCTTTGGAAAAGGACTGAATGGATTAATTCATAAACACGTTAGGGCTGACTCATTCTTACAGAAAGTCTTCTGAAGCAAGCTACAGTTAATATATATATAATTATGAGCGGTAATACTAGCAGTAGTTGTCTACCGGTATTAATGATGGTTGATGAGAGAGCTATTGTTATAAAAAAAAAATTAAGATTAATAACGAGTATAACCAAATTGTTCCAATATAAAATGCAATATAAAAAAAAGGCCAACTGACAAATTTAAAATTAAACTGCTGTTCTGAAAGTTTTCAATAATAGTACATTTTTTTAAACAAATTCAACACATAATGTTAAATTTCACTGCTGGAAAACAATCAAGGATTTCCATAAGTGAATTATGGCACAGTGAACTCCGCTATCATCGTCCTGGCAACAATCCTTCAAAAAGTGTCATTGTTGAATACCTTAACAAATTAGTAATAAAAAAAAGGAAACATTACTGAAATCAACAAGGTTTCCTATTACTCCTCTTCAAACACACACATTAGTATAAGCCAAGGAGCCAACATTAATATACAAAGATTTCTACTCGGGCTGGGAATACAGTATTTGGGTGTCTCACGATTCGATTTCCATTCTTGGGGTCACGATGCGATTCAGTATATTTTTTCGAATGGATCCATAGATTCAAAGTCTATTTTTGAATTAGTGCATACTTCAGGATATTTGGCATTATACTGAGTGAAAGAGATAGCTTTAGCACTTAACAGGGAGTGACTGATTAGAAGATTTCTTAGAAGTTCTGAATCTATTTTAAAATCTTAGAAATCTCGATTTTTACATACATTTTTTTCCCATCTCTACTTTCTCATTTCCATCGAGGTCCAGTTTATCATCATTTCTACAGGGATTTACTTTGATCTACTTTGATTTAATTTGTTTTTAAATGCATCTTGTTTATGTATTCTCCGACTTGTTTCGGGATGTCTTCATTTGTTTGTGTTATCTAAATTCCAAAGAGTGTCTGCTTGTCATTTTAGTTTTGTTTTTTCTGCTTGTTCTCATTATTTTCCCCCATTTTTGTCTTGTCATTGTTGCACTAAATGTACAAGCACTGACTTCAATTTGCCTTCAGGTGTAATAGATGTGGGTCTGCTCCCACACTATTACTTAGAAGGAAAATGAATCTTTCTCATCTCTATCTGCTTTCCTCCTCTGCCTCCTCCTCAGCTTTTTCTCCTCCTCACATGTACGTCCAGCTGGCTCTCAATACACCCAAGGGGAGGGAAGCAAAGACCTTTACTTCCTCTCTGCTTCCCTCACTCTTTCCATTTTCCCCAGCTTTGTCTCCCTTTGTCATTTCTTTACCCTCCTGATATTCCCTCACTCCTTTGACCTTTTCTAGTTTACTCCATCATCCCTTTGGCCTCAACAAAGACATTTCTACTGAAGGCCTGAAAGACCCTTACAGATATTTTTGACAAATATCTCCAAATGCAGGTCCAGAAGTCGGAAGGATTCTACAAAATCAACAGAACACATGGATATTTTGTGCATGAAATATCCTGCAACAACTGTCCCTCTGAGAAATCTACAGGCTGTTTTAGCTTCAAAGCTGCTTACACTAGCACTTTGATATTTTTTGTCTGCTGGGGCACTGATTCACAACAAACATGTCAAGCACTACCATGGGGCTATTAATCCTAACAAAAAAAAGAAAAGAATCAGCAGCAGGCAGAGAATATGTACAATACTTTACTTGCAAGGCACAAGTAAAGGCTAAATGGACAGTTGACTCAGCACATATGGGTTTGACAGGAAACAACTGAGGGGAGATGAAGACTGTATGCAGATCCAGCAGGCATCAGCTACACTTTTGGCCAGCAGCTATTGAAGAATTTAAATATATTCAAAAGGACACCAAGCAGGATACATCACAGACAAATAGTACACAAAGAAATAAACAAAAACAAGCTTAATAGCTTATCACACCATATTAAAGATGAGATCATAGCATTAGTCAGTACTGTCACATTGCTTGGTCTTAGAAATAATGACTACATCATTTTTTCTTCTACAATTAATTAGCCATTGCAGGATCAGTCATAATATCAAAATCTAATTGATCATAAAGTCTTCTTTGCATGAACTATGATTAATCACACTGCTTCCCAAGATCCCTTTCACTTCAAGACATCAACCCAGTGTATCATATTAGTGCTCTCTATGTTGAGAATAATTTGGTTACTTGGTTTGTTTTTGAATCTGTTGATCCAGTTTAATATCTAAAGGGACATTCTGTAGATTCAGACTTTAGATTTAGATTACTAACTTTAAAGGATTCCTGAAGTTCCTGGAGATGGTAAATTAACATGATTAATGACTGTGATCTTAATAATAAAAACTATAACAGGTCAAGTTAACTTTATTCATTGAGTCCGAAACGCTTGTGTTATTGGCAGGTGGTCTTGTCCTAAGTTCATTAGTTTCCTCCATAGACCCAAACCTGGAGCTTTATCTAAATGGCCAAAAGTGCCCGGTGCACACTGCACAGCCTAAACATGTTCTCAGGTGCACACAGTAGCACGAACAAACCATGAAAATGAAATCGAAAGTGGCACACTGAAAAAAACTGAACAATGTCATACGTGGGCAATGCAAGTCTGGGATTGAACCAGTCCAAACCACCCATTACTAACAATGAGAAACCAAATGAGTTAAGGAAGAAGATAGGCCCGCACACCTGCTCAAATGACACAAAAAGTTGAAATTCATCACAATCCCAACGTTTCCACCAGAGGGCTTCACCTGGTCCCCTATCTTCTCCCTCAGTCTGCTGTTTTGGCACTGCCCTGCACCTACATTATGTGCGTATGACTCCCTCCTTTTCCTAAAAAAACAAATGAGCTACCCACAAAACAAATGAAACTCTTTCTCATCTAATAAAACACTCTGCAGCCCTTATCAATCTTTAATTGATTATGTAATGCAAATTTAAATACTTTTAGTTTAACTTAATTTGAGATATTTTATTCTGTTAACAGAACAACAGAACACAGTGTTTCCCCTACCATTATATTAGGGGGGCGCCCCCCCTGAAGGTCAATTAAAATATATATATATATTTTTTTTAAGTTAAGATTTATTTTTGGGCTTTTTGTGATTTTATTGTAGGGATATGATAGTGGATAGAGTCGGAAATCAGGGAAAGAAGTCATTAAAGGATACCTTTCCGATAGAAAAGGACAGCTGTCATTGAAAGTAACCCATGAACACCAAGATTCCTTCAAGTGTTTGTGTCGGCGTGTGTCCCCCCGATGCTGTAAACCTAGGGGAAACACTATTTCATTATGGCTTGACAACATTACTGCTATATGTTGAGCGGCATTGACAAAGTATGGGTAAAAACTGTGTATAATCCACTACACTGCACTGATGATTCTTAAATCTTTTGTAATCAACATATTCGAAAGGAACGGAAGGACGCGGGTGTAATATTCTTATATCCCCGTCCCTTGAAATCCAGTTTATAAAGGCATGTGATTTATTTCTGTAATTTCAGCACTGCTCTTATCAAGGCCTTGATAACAGAAGTGACCTTGCCGCAAACATCACAATCCTCAAAACTCATCATGACTACTGCCCAGCCCCAGTACAGGCCAGTCCAGCCCTCGGGTCTGATGTGGCCTTGTCTCTGCCTTGTTGGCAACTGGATGGGAGTCAGTGAGCTGGCTATGATATCAGATTAGCATGGCCTGAAGACTCAGCATCTCATCCTGATGTGACAAGAGTTACAAAACAAACAGGAGCAAGTGGCCTATAGTATGTAGGCTGCGACTGTTCTGTCTGCTGAATGAGCCTGTTAAAGATGTGTTCATGGAATACGATGACCAGCAAAATCACTTGTGTTGCTTTTGACATGCTTCATGAAACATGTCATACACACTCTTGGTATCCTTGTACTGTACTGTGTGTGTGTGTGTGTGTAACTATGATGCCACTGTGCTGTCATCTGAAACAGCCCATGCCAGCCTGTTTATGCTTTGACATGCACCAGACTAAAGAAACGACATGACTGATCCCTTATACACATGGTGCCTAATGTGTCGACAAGCTGAAACTGGCCTCTGACATACCACGCCAAATAAACTAAATGGATGTGGAATACATCACTAGCATTCGCTTTCATCACATCTACACCTGTTTTTCGTGGTAACTACAGTGATTAAAGAAATGAGCTCACTCGACCCACAGAAATGTCTTCAATTTTTGCTGTAGTGATCTCAGCAAAAGGGTAAGGTATGGACATTGAAATACAGCCATGTGTTATAACGTAGGTGTAAACCAGGGAATTATCATTTCCATACGCAGCGTGCCCACTCTAAAATACACACATACACACACTGACTCAGAGGTATGAAGTCACCAGTGTGACACACACCGCGGCCGCAGCACCGCTGGCACTCACTGGTTTTAACATTAAGAAATCATCGGTTCACACAGTCTAAGCTACCTTGAAATACACGGAAGGTTACATTTACATTGCTTTTGGTGAGGGTACAAGAATACCAAGGCCTACAATACTATTCTTTCTCACTTGTGACGGCAGCACTGCGGTAGTCGGGCCGGGGCTGAATTGAAAGCTGTGACGGACAAACGGACAGCAAGAGGAGGCGGCAGCAGAAGCAGCGAGACCTACCGTCACCCGTCGCCGCTCCCAGGGCACTCCCATGCATCGAAAACAAAAGTAAAACGCTCTATCCGGCTGTCAAGAACAACCTAGACCAGGAAAAGTTTGTGTGAACGGGTTGTCACGACGGATAAACCCTCCTACTTCTCCAGAGCTAACTCCAGCGGCAGTGTACGGGCAGCACGGGAGGGACGGGAGGGAGTGAACGCTACAACAAGCAGAGGAGCATGCGGATGACGTCATCGCGTATCGTTTGCGTGGATGTAAACTTTTTTTTTTTTTTTTTTTTTAAGAAAAACTTTGAAAGGAAACTTTTTTTTTTTATTATTGTTAGTGAATAAATCATCGGTATCGGCGAGATAACCGGCGATATTCTTATGGTTTATAATTTGAAAATTGTTTTGATTGTTTTATTGAAATATAGCCTATAGGCTCATTTCATTTTAAAGTTTCTTAAGAGTACAATATCTTTACGCGTTGGTCTCATTGATGCTTCATAGTTTTATCTTTAAAAAAAATAGTTTTATCTAAAAAAAAAAAAAGAGAGTTGACTTTGTTTTGTAAAGGGAATTGCTTGTCTGTCAGGTTTTGTATGCAGTGAAGGTAGCAATTGTTAACTCAGAAATAATAACTTAAACTGTGCCTAGCTACAATTAAGTGAATTTAGGCCTACTGAGCTATTCCAAAGTTGTCTCTATCTTTTAGAGACTTTACAATAGACTAGTTAACTGGGACTAAACTGAAAATAAAATAATAAATTGCCAAGCAGGATTGACCACCTCTGGTCAAAAAAGTGAAGAGTGTAAAAAAATCTGATATTACAGTGGCAGGTAAGGAAAAATAAATAAAAATAATTACACATTTTCGACATAATTATTTATCTATTTATTGATTGATAGTGCCTGTTTATGTCTAAAAAACAAACAGTATAAAATACAATCACAGTTAAAGATATGAATCAAACCCTCTTTGAACCCCTATTAAATACAAATAAGATAAATATAGATTATCATTGTTATAAAACCCTACAAATGGCAGACAAAACATAATTTTTGACGAAACTCACTGTAAAGAATCATTGCTGCATAAATGCTCGTGCATGTGTATGGATTACACCATATGACAAAAATAAAGACCAATGTCAAGAAGGTCAAGAAAAGGTTCACGTTCTACCATGACCTGTCTTTTGAAACTGCAGCTCTGTTAAACAGAATACAAATAATATATTTTTGTGAACAAAAATGAATTAACAATAAAATAAATCAAAAACGTATCAAAATGATCAAGTAATGGTTGTGAAAATAAATTGAGGAAATTCTTCTGGTAGTTTTCACTAAAAATGAATAGAAGTCATGGTGTAGTTAAAACATGTTTTAGCGAGGCACAGTGTAGGCATGAATGGGCAGTAAAATAAACAAGATTTGCATGATTTCAGAACTCTTTAGAATAAAACGTTTTCACTCCTACATTTCCCATAATATAAAGAGAGGTAAAAAAAAAAAGACCCAGTAGATGTAAGACATAGTTAAGACAGGAAGATAATTACTCATGACTGTGTACATAAATAAAGCACTTTGGTCCCCATATTGCACAACTGTAAACACTTCAATATACAATATAATTACTTTTCTGTCTCGCCTGTTGTGTGCTTTTGGCTCAACTGAAGACAAGACAAAAGGCACAGCATGATACTTTGGATGATTCTTCATAGATTGTTACACAAGGCCTCCATGGCACTGGCACTTCCTCAGCAATGTATTGGTCGGACTTCACATTTCTATTTAAAAAAGAAGACACATAAAAACCCCTATACTCATCTCATACAGACACACACACACACACACGCACACACGCACACACACACACCATAGAGAACATTCAATTGCACTGTAAATCTTTTAGCTTCCTTCCTCCTCTGCTGTGCTTTGTGAATTATTCTACGGTCACAGACTTGGCCAAGTTTCTGGGAAAGTCAACCTACAAACAAAGAGAAAGCATTTGGTTAGACAAAATTAACTACAATCATATCTTATTTGAAGTGTGAACAGATATAAATCGTAGATATGTTAATGCTTTTTGTCAGAACTTAGGACATGTTACCATGTTAACTGCATATTTTTTAAACCATAATGGAGCAGAGATTAGGCCGGACAAAGTAAGCTGATAGTGACAGAGGATTACCTCTCCTTTACCAGCTCCTGTTCTCATGATAGGAAAACTCAGAGGTGAAATGTCATTGTAAATGCTAACTGTGTTAACAATGCAAATATATGGTGTCTGTCTAAACTGGGGACAGAGGTGTCTTCTTAGTTAAGTGTGAAAACATAAGCTTTTTTGGCCTATATGAAACCAAACCTTGAGACATTTCACAGTGAAACTATCTGCATCACAGAGACAGGAACACATAGAGCTTTAGCAAGTACTCTCCTCACCCACTGTACAGTATGTTAATTATTAATAAACTGCAGGCAATAAATAGCCACCTGGAGTCATGCGCTGTATCCAAAGTCTTTACCATAAGACTTTGCATGCAGTTCAAAATACAATTATCAAATTGTTAGAACTAAACATATTAAATAACATGTTATACAAGCACAATATGTTTGAGTTTCTTATTCATAATCAGGGTACAGACAAAGTAATAATAATTAAATAACTCATAAGATACATTTTAAATTAATAACTGATTTCCCTAAATTACATTATAAAGACTGAATTCATGCTCATAAAAGTCAGTCAAGTAATAAAACATTTTGTTTTTCTCAGTGAGACTTAAGAAATGACATTTGAGGTATCTAGGCCTGACAGTTTGTGCAATATCTCTCTATTCTCTCTCTGTTTTTATATAAGGTGAGCATCGTTACAAATAGCTTCAGACAGGAAATTGTGTCCACTTCTTACGTCATATCCTCTCAGGACAGCCAAGTGGAAGGACAGCAGCTGCAGGGGGATGACACTGAGGATGCCCTGCAGACAGTCAACGACATGCGGCAGCTCGATGGTCTGGTAGGCATTCTTAACAATCTCAGGGTCGTCCTGGCTACAGATGATGATGGGCCGACCCTGACGGAGAGAGATACATGAGGTGGAACATAAACATTAGTCAGTCAGTCTCTCCATTTTTGTTACATTTCTTGACTGTATGTTGTGTCCAGGAGTGTGGTTTAGTGAGTTCAGATGTGTGTGTTCTCTTCCATAACCTACCGATCTGGCGGTGACTTGTTGCAGAGCGTTCTGGCACTTTGTGTAGCAGGCGTCTTTCATGATGATCATGATGACTGGCATGTCTTTGTCTATAAGGGCCAGAGGACCGTGCTTCAGCTCTCCGGCAAGGATTCCCTCAGAGTGCATGTAAGTGATCTCCTTAATTTTCTGCATTAAATAACGACACACAGAAGAACCAAGTCACAACATTATTTTAGACCATAATATTATACATACTGCATTTTAATAGTAATTTCACCAATTGTTTGTATTTTTGTTCTGATATTTGATGTAATTCTGTGGGTAGTGAGTTTCAGTTTTTTTTTTCAATTTGACTCACCAGCGCCCCCTCTAGGCAGGTGGCATAGTTGAAACCTCGGCCCATAACCAGAAGAGACCTTTGCTGATACATTTCGTTGGCAATGGCCTTGATCTTCTCATCTAGCGCCAACACCTTCTTGATCAGCTCTAAGAGAGGAGAGGAAAAAAGTGTGGAAATGGAGGATTTATAGAAAACATATGAAGTACTAATAATTTTACAACGTTATAAACTTATTCTGTGCATGACATAAAAAAAAACCCACAACCCAGCATCGTAAACATGCTGTTTACACACACTGAGACCCGAAATGGCTTTGACATTTTAAAGCATGTTTTTGGACTGACCTGGTAACATCCTCAGGCTGTTGAGGATCTCCAGTCTCCTGGTCTGCAGGGAGAGCCTGTCCTCGCTCATCATCAGAGAAAACATGACGAGGGACACAAACTGACTGGTGTAGGCCTGGATGACAAACACAAGAGACACTCATATAACCCGAAGCTGTGCTGAACATTTTGGCAGCAAGGGCGTATCGAGCCAGTAACACGGTTCTGTCTTGCATTCTTTATAAAAATTGTGTCCTTTTTGCTTTATAACATTTTACAAATGAATGGGTTGTACATTTTAAACTTTACCTTGGTGCTAGCCACTCCGATCTCAGGCCCAGCGTTGATGTGGACTCCACAGTCTGTTTCTCTAGAAATGGAGCTGCCTACAGTGTTTGTTATACCGACTGTCAGGGCACCATGTTCCTTGCAGTAGCGTAATGCCATCAAGGTGTCTGCTGTCTCGCCTGAGGACCCAAAAGCAATACAAATATATGCTTACCATGGAGAATTACAGCACAATAATACATTTTTTTTGACGTTAGTTTCATTGTAAGAATGAAACTGTTTCTAACCGTTTTCGAGAAGTTATGAACATGCTGACTTCAGGAGACAAACATATATGAGATTAGACTGACAATAAGGAAGCGCATTCATGTGTTCACCTGATTGGCTGATGAAGAAGCAAACATCGTCTCTGAAAACAGGCGTGTTGCGATCAAGAAAGTCACTTGACAGCTCCACCATGACAGGCACCTCCGTCAGCTCCTCCAGGATCTGTCTTGTCTGTGTATAAGGGAAACAACACAACCAGGTTCACCGTCACCATAATCATAACTCACCAGACAATGAGCCATTGCAACTTCCTTTCTGATGGTTAAACTTACAGCCACTGCAGCGTGGAAGCTGGTGCCACAACCGATCACGATGAGCCGCCTGCAGCGCTTGATTTCCTTCAGGTGGTCCTTCAGCCCGCCGAGAACCACTGAGGAAATAGAGGACATTAACAGCATTTAAGTATTTTACTTACGTTCTGCTCTGGGATAATCTGCTATGTTTGTTACAGGTTCTTTTTTTTTATTACTATGTGATGTTTTAATTGTGACCTGCCGAGGGACTGAAGATGTGAACTAGCTCTATTAGCTAACTCTGGTACAAAGCATCAAATGGCAGTGTTTAATATTGTACATGCTTTACAAATACAAAAAGTTACAATAAAATAATATGTCCAATTTCATCGTCTGATTGCTCTAAGTATGTCAAATTCCACACAAACACAGAGTCACTCAAACACTACTAAGGTACTGTATCCTTAATAACTCTCTGCTTATATGTATTGTAGGTGTGATCTGTTCTTTGTCATGTATATTCTTTTTTTTTTAATTAGACATTAAAAATCCTTTTGTTTATCCATAAGGCAGGGCAGGATGTAAGATTATTATCACCTGTGTTGGTATCGAAACATATCCGGCCTCTCATGGTGTTAAATATTGACTCCGGCTGCTCGAAGATCTCCTTCTGCATGAAGGCATCAAAGTTACCTGCACAGAGAGGAACATGTATTTACATCAGATGTATTGATCATAACATCTCGTGACATGTGGTGTCCTCACCAAGGAGACTATAGAAAACAAACTGGGAACTACATGCTATTATTATAGTTTCACTTTCAGCCAGCAGATGGCGCTCAAGTAAAGTCTATGAAATTCAATGATACGTAGCATTATGTCTATTCAGTATGTTCAATGTATTCAGTAGGATTTGTTTAATTCTAACTTAAATACTTCTTAGTGTAGACCCTTTGTGAACCAGAAAACACTATCTGACCTTTCATGATTTGTTGCAGCTCCATCTGCAGTGTCTGGATTGCCCTCACTGGATCTTCCCCATGTTTCCTGTTGATCCTGTGGATGGACAGTTTCCCACCGGTCACCACAGCGATGTCATCGTCCTCCATGTACAGCACCTTTTTGGTGTGTTCAATGATGGCACTAAGGGTAGAGAAAACATTACTACAAATGAATGCGTTTCTGTGTAGATTATTTCTGATAGTAGACAGAGATAAGGGATGAATGAGTATTTGACTATCATTTAATAGACAAAATACATATATTCAACACTAGACACACAGAAAGTCGGTAGCCCACCTGGCATCAGAGGCAAAGTAATACTCTACGGCGCTGCCATCTCCCACAGAGTTGATGGAGTTAACAGAATCAGAGCGGTTACGGCTGTTCTTCTCATGGACTACAAGGGCAGGGGTCAGAGGTCAAGTGTTAGAGGTTGGACAGAGACTTTGGTACTAAAACAATCAAGATGTGCTCACCACTTAAATTCTTCCTTTAAACTTCCAGATGTATAGGGATGAGAAATTGGGTTGGCAGAGTTGTTTAATTCTGATATTGTGGTTAAATGTTGTAATGTTGTAAGATTCCAAACCACAGCTACAACAAACAAAGTATTTATAGCAGATTACGACCACCAATAAATGGTGGGCAAGGAGGAATTCCTGAATGGGCAAAAAGGTCAACATGGTGCTATTTGGTCATTTTGCTAGGGTACTTTCGTAAGTAAATACATTCAAAGAAAAAACAATTCAAGGACCCAGAGAGCTGAAAGGATTTTTTTCAACTACTAGAGTGACACACCCTGCTTGGATCCCACCCAGCTCTGCCTTGGACCTTGGACCTTTCAGACTTGAGAGCCATTATGAAAACCATAAATGTTTAAGTAAACAAATAAGACTGTGAAAATGTAGACCTGCGTACAGTAGAGCTTGTTGTTTCAAACAATAAACAATCATAAAAACAGATTATTTTATTCTAACATGAATATTTTTTGAATATTTTTAAGGAGGTGTTCACACATCCAATTGTCTTTTCAGGTAGGTGCGTAGGGCGACAAACTATAACTTGAAAAGAAAGTCACCTGTTGAAATTAAACTGGTGATTCTGAGCAAGAGTAGTGAGGAGTCTTTTCAAGTTATGGATTACAAGGGAAAATCTCTCCGTTTGTCTGTCTGTCTGGAAACTCAAGGCTTCAGAACCACATCCTAAGCTAGAATTAATTTCCACAAAGGACCACTACCCTCTAAAGCTACACACAGAAATCCCTGGCAAGACAGATGGCTTTGCAAGAACATTTTCCAACAGAATTATCACATAACAAATAACACATCCACAGAAAATCTCAAACTTCGTTTAAAGTTATATAGCCATGAGTCAGTGCAGTAAATCTGAGAAACCAATCGCTGTGCAGCAGCACATTGTAATGAGGAGGAAGTAAAGATAAAAAAGCCATTGTAAGTGTATGCATAATCGAATACCACTTTAACCTCTAGCACATAATACATGAAAGGATAAGTCTGGCAATAGGGTTTTAAGTTTTGCAAAACTTTTTAGGAAAAGGCAGAAACCAATAAGGAATCAATCCATCTCACAATTCTACCTGTAGGCAAAGCCTCATACATCTTCTCTGAACCATGAAGTATCATTTCTGTCCAAAAAATATGAATTAGTGCACTGGGTGACATTCTGTTTTATTATCACAAAGACAAGAACTGTATAAGTTTATTTTGAGTCGATCCCACATTCACCATGCAGCTGCAGAAAATATTCACAAGACGGTATCATGTTCTCAAAATAGTCCCCAACAAATATTTACTTCTGTTTGAGTCTGCTCAAATCCACAGGGCCCAACTGTTTTTGGGATTTATTTGAGTCTCTTCAAATTGAAAGTACATGTCCCAAATACATGACCCATTATCAGGTTCTGCAACTTGAGAAGGAATTAATTGGTGTGGCTGAGAGACTTCGACAGGTTAGGGAATTCAGAAAAGTGTTAGAGACGGACTAATGCAATACCTGTTTGGCTTTTGTCTACATAATCTCCTTAAGATGTGTTTGAAAGAATGACAAATATACTATCATGTAATTATCAAGATAAATATTATATTACACACTCTAATAAGCCATCAAATATATAATTATCACACCCCCTCAGATGTCTCAATCCTACATCACATCGGTTTCTCAAGGCTTTTGTGTATGCTGCTATAGATTGTGTGTACCTGTGTCTCTGTGTGGGTGTGCATGTAAGCAAAGATTTGGACTGCAGTGTAAGTGGATAATGGCAGACAGAGACAGGAACAGAGCTCACCACTGTTGTACTGGATTGGGATGTTTTCGGTCAGCAGCTCCTGCTCGCTTCGCACACCAATGAGCAACGGACTTCCTCTCCTGCCGAGACAAGAATAAAGCAGACAGGGAGAAAGAGAGACAGAAGAGGATTAGGCTTTGTAGACACACAACAAGGTCAGACACACACTCTCACGTGGTGCTTTGTAAAGATAAATGTTCAGTTAACTTTTCATCACTTTCTGTTGTTAAACAATACGTGTGGCCATACATGTAACAATTCTTTGTGTTTCCTCCATATATTCATTTTTTTCCCAGTACCAAATCAAGTGCAGCCTAGGTTTATATAATATTGCCTCATTGTTTTCACAATCTGGTGCTTCATTACTCAATCATGTGCTCAGACATCCTCCCACTTTATCCTAATCTGTTTTAAATGTTTTAATCTTGAAATTAGAGAAGTAAAATGATCCTAACATTCCTCCAGGATATGCTTACAGTTCCTGGACAGAGGTATTGCTTCCTCATTGGCAGTAGCGGAGCGAGTGTGGGGGCAGAATGTGCGGCCGCCCCGGGCCCACTGTTGTCTCAAGGGGCCCACTTTGAGCCAAATTTAACATGCATTTTGTTATTTAGTTGAATTTTCTAATAAAGTTAGTTTGACTAGGTCTGAATCTCTCTTTTCTTTTGCCGCAATCAAGACACACAATGTATTTTGTAGAGCAGAGAGGGGCCCTCCTCCACTGCCAATGGGGTTCTCAACTTGGGCAGCAAACAGCACCAGCGGGGTGCTGTGGCCTGTTTGTAATGTCATTGATTCCACCTCTTAGCACCCCCTTTGCTGGGCCCCCGCTGCTGTCTGGAGTTTTAAAAACCTAGTCGTCTGTCTGCTTTATTTCTGTTTACCTCGCAGTTTTTCGTAACCTTAAAAGTGTAAAAAACTAAATAAAAAATGTTTTCTCATTGACAACTCAACCTGACAAGTCTCCTCCCGTTGCTAGCTCCACTAACGTAAACACTACTAACCAAGCAAATAAAGACGTTAGAGAGGAGCACCCAGCTGGCTGCAGGAAAGCAACAGTGATGATGAAAACTTAATTGGTAAATTGTTTCATCATTATTTGATTACGTTTAGATGCTGGTCTTTTGTTTGTGGGTGTGTTGTAGACCGCCGTGTCTACTGGTTATCGTACTGTATGAACGGCAGGCCATTGCTGTCACACTGTTTACAAAGTTTGTTGTGGTGTGTGGGTTGATAATGTGGGTTTTATTGTATTGTCTGTGTGGCTGGATGAGCGTCCAACTTCACTGAATGTTAAACTGTAGTTGCCTTCTATCTTTGGTTTCCCGTCCAGCTAATGAAGTCTGCTTTACTTGTTTAATCGGTGGAATATGCGCACAGACATATCAGCACTTGTTCTGCTTAAACATCAGCAGGTCACTCACTGATAAGTCCCTGTCACTGTAATAGCACCCTTTGTAATCTGCAGCGGCATTTCTCTTCGTCCCGCCCCGTCTTGTATCTCCATACAGCCAATACTATACCATAAATGCGAACTATATTACTATATCGGCTACAGCATGTGCGATATAGCCGATAAACAGTTTAAGGGCCCACTATTGGTCCCCGTCCCCTCTGCAATGAGCCTGCTCATTGGCTACAGACACCATGAGGGCTTCTCCCATTGGCTGTTGATCCAGAGAAGGTGTAGACAGGTGTCAGGTGAGGGAGGAGGTTGTATTTAACCTTTAAATAGATGAAGACTTTACAAACTCAACTTGTGTCCACAGTGCAAACAGTTTAACAAGGCAAGACCACTTCATGGTGTTATTATGACACCGACTCTTGAGAAAACACATCCAAAAGGCCTCTCCTTAATATTGTCTCTGTCTGGATCCCTCTTTTCTCTCTGTTTCGAATTTCTATGGAGCTCGGCTACGCTGACGCAAGAGTGCTGTTTTTTTTAAGGGGTGTGGGGAGCTTGAATAAGGAGGCTCGCAAACAGAAACATGTGGTCGCTATCCATTACAATATTTACCCTGTGGGAAGGAGAGAAGGGAAGCAAAGGGATGTAAGAAAAGTAAGGACTAAGTAGGTGAAAGACAGGGTGTTGGGGAGAACAAGAATGAAGCAACAATGAAGAACGAGAGGAGGAGAGGAAAGTAAATGTGCTGCAGGGAGGTTGATCCAAGACGACAAAAGGCTGGGTGGTGACTCCCACCAGTGGATAATTACAAACATTCCTCCAACTACAGAGACAATGCTGACTGTTCAACAATAACCACCAAATTACAGAGCAAAAGCAATGCATTTTACAATGCAGTTACAGTTTTGTCCAGAAACTACAACTCACTAAAGAAAAATAGGCAGCCAAAGTCTCCTGACTTCAGCAGCAGGTGTTCAAAGAAGTTGCCTTGCCAACATTGAAAACACCAGGTCACCCGTTTGCATAAACTATGAAGAACGGCAGACTTATCTCCCTCTCTCTCTCTCTCTCTCTCTCTCTTCCAACTCCTGGCTCACGAAGCGTGAAAAATAGAAATTAAAAATCAGATGATGAGTAGCAATTAACTTGGAGTGTTACTGGAAATGAGACAGGAAACTCTGGAGTCTCTCCATTAATGAGTCACAGAGAAGCCGGCGTGTGGCCAGCAGCCCAGAGGCCAGAGGCCCAGGAGGGAGAGGGGGAACCTGGACTCAACCTCTGCTCTGCCCTGATCCCCTCTCTGCCCTGGTCTTAAGAAGCAGAAGAGCATGACAAATGCAGGCAGAGACCTTACACACCCTCACACAAAAACTTGAATAAATCACAAGCAGCACAAATCCTTGTTCTTAAAAGCAAATCACAGAGTCCCAACAAGTCACAAGTAATGGATGTAAGCTAAGATAAGCCACAATGACTAAATGTAAGGAGTCTCCTCAAATCATAGTTGCTATTGCCTCATAGTAGTAACAGGGGTGACTCATCTCATGTGTCTGGACCTCTGCACATATACAGGACAGAAAAGTGAAGTGAAATGTCAAAAAGAGAGAGAGAGAGAGAGAGAGAGAGAGAGAGAGCGAGAGAGAGAGAGAGAAAGAGCGTGTGTGTGTGTGTTTTTTTTTTACTAACCTGGTGGCCACAGCCTCTCCTGGGAAATGACGACTTTTAAACACCAGAGCGAAGGCCCCCTCCTGACACAGAAAGAGGCAGAGGAAACACGGAGTTTAGTCCAACTTGATGAAAGACTGAAACAAACTGATGTTTGAGAATACTGCAGGCGAGCGTGTGAGAAAAGAAAAAGTTAAGCATAAAGAAAAAGATAGACGAGTATTCCTGGAAAGTGTGTAACCTTTAGGAGAAACATTTCCTGAACAAACACAACCGTTTTATTCTGGGCCCGCTGGGGTTTTGTAGCCGTGGTGGGGGTGTGAGTGAGTGTTGGGAAGTAGCGTGGTAGATGATGGGTGGGGGGGGAATAAGACCTCTATTGTACAACATGAGCTGTTATTTCGAAAGCACTGAATTCAATGCTGCCTGTGGTGGTTAGACGCGGAGCTGGCTGTGTGTGTGTGTTTATGTGTGTGGTGTTGAAGGTATGACAGTAGGGGGTGGTAAGCATAAGAAAGACATGGAGGGGGGTGTCACGCTGCTGTTTATGGCTCTAACAATCTGGTTCCCATTACACCAAATCTAAAATGGCTGCTTTGGCTTCATTTGTTCTTCTGGGGAGAGAAGAACCAGTCCAATGTAATGTCCAACACTATGATGTCACACAATGGAAAACAGACGCTTGCTCAATCTAACCCCTAAAATAAAATCTGTTTCTACCAGTGATGACCTCACAAGTGATGCTAGTAGCGCGGTTGTTATGGAAAGTGTTTTTGTGATGGTGTACAGAGTTGTTACACATTGCAGAATGAACAAATATATTTACGTGTGTGTATGTGGGTGACTGGCCAATGACACATTTTAAGTCCCTACACTACACGATACCACCCTTCATAGTTACCAGGAAGTTGGTCATAAACATGTCCACCCCTTGATCCACAGCAAATGTGCAAATGGGAAAATAAATAAAAGCCCACAAGACGACAAAGCAAAGATTAGCATGCTAACACTTGTGCTGCTGTGAAGTAGGGCGGTGCTGCGGAAGTCAGTGAACTCACCAGCTGCTGGATGACTCTCTCTACCAGCTTGCCGAAAGCGACACTGTCACCCTCTTGGTTGTCGTAAACATATTTGATCAGCTTCGGGATCACCTCTGTGTCCGTCTCTGACTCGAACTCATATCCTTTGATGATCTGAGGAAGACACAAGATAAAGTTTATATAAATGAGGAGATGCTGTCAGTCATCCTGTAAGATCCTGCTGCACAAAGTCCATCTTCTGTTCATCTTCCATGATTAAGTGTTGTGAGTTCTTTATCTCCATGATAAATATCAGTGTTACACAGATAAACGCTTTCAGTCTTAACTCTCTGCATGTCGCAGATAAAATAAAAAAATACAATAACATTTCAATTTCAACTTAACATTCAGAATCATACTTTTGTATTAACACTCTTTCAAAACAGAATCACCCCTGACTTACTGGATAAGCTCCCCAGTACATTGTTAACTAAAAGGAACATATAACACATTATAACCATGTGGGAATATAACTATCTGTAGGTCTAGCCTATATATTTCACTTGAGCATTGATTTATTTAACACTTTCATCTTTCTAAGACAAGCATCTGAACTTACTAAACCTTACATTTTCAAAACAGACTCTTTAAAGACTAAATCTTTAATGGTTCCTTATTTTTCAGAGGGAAATTTTCAATTAAGTTTATTTGAGTCTATGCAACTCTATTACTGATTTGAGAATTGAGAAAGAAGAGTTTTATATTTACATGTTTTACATTCAAACCCAGTTGAATAACCATAATACATGGCACCTCCAATGCTGTATATTTGTTTATCCTTTTAACAGAACATAAGATACATTATGAAGTCTTTGAGTAATTTAAGGAGTGTCACTTCTCAAATAGAATGACGTGCCTTTAACTTAACAGGAGGACACTGAAGCCGGTAATGAAAATACGAGCTCTACCTGCAGGACAGGTCTAAGAATGGCACTGAACAGGATCCTAACTCATTTGTTTGCACAAAAGAAAAATCCTGACGATAAGGCAACTTACGAGGTACTCCTTCAGCTCTTTGTAGTTGGTGATGATGCCGTTGTGGATGACAACAAACTCTGAGGAGAGGCAACAACAGTGAGCAGATTAGACAGAGGCATCAAAGGTCAAAAACAAGTCTGTATGTTCTCTCCTGGTGTTTATTTGAAATTACATTTGAAAAGCCTTTAGAATCACACTAAAACAGGAACTGCCACGAGGATATATCCTTAAGATGATACTGTCTGTTACCAAACCAGTGAAGTGTGTGGTATGGCAGGTTGTTGTTATTTCAAGAAAGTTTCTTTTGTTGGGTTAAGTGAACAAAATGAGTTAATGCATGTAGCCATAGATATGGATTTACAAACAGACTGCAGTGCTCTGCAGTGGCTGAGTTGAAGGGGTCAAACATAAAACACAAAGTTGATATCTTATCAAAATTGATTGCAAAGTCCCAAAAGGTCTTTATCAAATATTTCTAATATATTAATAAATGGCAATATAATACAGATATAAGGTGCTTGGTGGCACAACCCTACCTCACACTTTGGACCTTTATGAGCATTGAGAACATACCTTGCTCTTAAGCAAAGGTACAATATTGACACACCTATGAGCATTATACTAATGAAAGACATGGGTGTTTATTGAGTGAGAATGGAAGCTGTTTAAAAGTGTGTTCAATAAATAGGATCTTAACCGTTAATTTAAATGTACAGACAAAGTTAAAGAAAGCTACAATTACAAGATGACAGTGAGTAATGCAGAACATTGGAGTCGCAGAGGGATAAAAGGTAAGAGTTGAACATTTTAAGGATAGGTATTATTAGACGCATTTATGTAATGAAATGTGTAAGTTAAAGTACACAGGTCATACCATTGTCCTTGTCAGAGCGATGAGGGTGGCTGTTGACGGCGCTTGGCTCTCCATGTGTGGCCCAGCGAGTGTGAGCCAGACCAAAGTGTGTGCACAACTGCTCGTCCAGGTCCAGTGAGTCTTTCTCTGAGCAAGCAAAACAAGACATCACACCCTTAACAGACATGAACATGTCGGGAATCCTTCATTTTTTGAGAATTTCATCAAAATGAAATAAATGAGGGGGTTGTACATTTTTAAATTACCATGACATTACCTTTTAAATGTTTTTTTTTTAATGGAGGGAAATATATCAGATAAAAGTTAATTTGTTAGTTAGAAAAGTTAAACAGAGTATATTACATGAATATTTTGTTTCATATCTATAAAAAAAAAAAAACATACTGTAAAGCTCCTCATCCAGATTCTTAACCTTTCCCTTCTTCTTTATTAAGCAGATAGCATTTTTGATGCTGTCAGTGGTTGTCTTGTTGGGCCCGTCCACTGCAATACCTGCAAACAGACAGAATGAGAATTGACCAGAAATACAAAATAAAGTATTGCTTATGTTAGTGATGAGAGGTCAAATTAAACTTCAGATAACTAAGTTATTTATGTCAACGGTTCTCTAACTGTGGGGCACGACCCCCGGAGGGTCAACGTGGCACACTTCCTTTTGTTCATTTTTGTTTTGAAATCGTGACTTTAAAAAAAACACTTTTTGATTATTTAAGGAAATAACTGAGTAGATTTAAATGTCACTCTGTTGTATAACTTATTAGAGTTAAATTGTTATTCCTTTAGGTGCACACACACATCACAGCGAAAGGAATGTTCAAGTCTTGTTGGTGTCTACATAAAGTTCAACTTCACCCTTTTTGTCAATGTTTTGTTGGGGAAGGGTCACAGAAATATTTCCCTCTACAAGGGGGAACATGAGAGAAAAAGTTTGAGAGCCACTGATTTAAGGTGACGACGGTGGTGTTACAATTTCTGTATCTGAGGAATTACTTGTTGCATGTGTGCATGTTTACGTAACAGCCATCAGAGGTAGTGTGGCTTCATCTTAATCAAATAGGATGAATAAACACACAGTGTGTGTGTGTGTGTGAGCTATAGTGTGTGTGTGTGGGCTATAGTGTGTGTGCGTGTGTGTATGTGTGTTTGTGCGTGTGCATGTGTGCGTGTGTGTGGGTGTGTGTGGTGCGTGTGCATGTGTGCATGTGTGCGTGTGTGTGGGTGTGTGTGGTGCGTGCCTGCTTGGGTTTGTGTGTGTGTGTGTGTGTGTGTGTGTGTGTGTCTGGGCGTGTGTTAACATTATTAAATGTCCAGGTGGCAGCTGGCTCAGAGAGGAGACGTCACTTCTTCTTAAGGTGCAGTCAAAGCTATTATACCTTTATACACAAGAGAATTATGATTATTGGACAATTATTCTGTGGTTTCACGACCCAACTCTCCTGAACACGTGTAACAGGTCTTGCCATTCCTGTTTATCTTCATTTCATTCAAGAAAATCATGCAGTTACAAACTGTCAGTCATCTCTAGTTGGAGTGGAATGTTGAGGATACAAGCACCCACTGCACTTGTGAGTGTTGACATTTATTTTAAGACTCACAAGTGCAGTGTGTGTATCCTCAACCTCCCACTCCAACCAGAGACTAGTGTATACTGACAGTTTATAACTACATTTTGTATTTAAGCCTTTCAGGGCCATTACAGTGATTCAGCTGCAGATTGTTACATGTCTGAATGCCTTGTATGTTGCCTTGATTATATTTTGAATGACACGACAAACAGGTGCTGCATAGAGGAACTATAAGCTTTTGTGTGGTGCTGTGTGTTATATGTGTGTGTGGTAAGGCAGTGAAGCTGAGTGTCTTACCTGCTGAATCGTACCCTCTGTACTCCAGCCTCTGCAGTCCCTTCACTAGGGTCTCAAATATCTCCTTTCTGGTGCGAGGCACACAATAATTCAGGTAGGCAAAGATCCCTTTCAGAGAGAGAAAGAGCAAGGAAAGTGAAACACAACATGAATCCTTTAAGCTGCTCGAACTTGTTAGTAAAATTAACAAAACTGCAAAGAGCACTGAAGACATCTTTTGACTTCAGTGATCAATTCTTATAGGATCAATCTGTTACAGAGATTAAGGACAATAAAAGTTTAAAATAATTGTTAGTTGACATTATTATAGACTCTCCTGTCAACTATGAAAGATCAAAAGATCAAGCCCCAGCCTTCAGCTTATCTGTTATTAACTATATCTCACAGAAGCCTCGATAAGAAACTACAAATCTGATTAAAAGACATCCAAGACAACTTGCAGTTGATGAATCTTTATATCCGATTAAAATAAAATAAAAATCTGAGGATGCTGGGTTTGTGGTTACATGTGCATGTGTATATGGGTTAATGTGTTGTGTGTGTGTGTAGGAATGTTCCGGGCAGCCCTCTCCCGCAGGCACACAGCTGGCCATTGACGGACGCACATTGCGCTCAGTGTTGGAGGCAGCCAGGTACAGACAGGCTGCTGTAAACTCACACAGTCTTGGCCTCTTCCTTGCAGGCACGGGGAGAGGCCGAAGTACTGTTAAAGATTTACTCTGGACTGTAAACGTCCCTGTGGGAGAGTGGGACATAGGCTGTCAAAAGGGGGGGATTTGCCTGATTCAACTCTTTGGAGCTGCGGGGCTTAGGATGTGAGTCGCACCACGTAAAGTAGGCTGTTAAATATCGTATTTCTATATTCTTTCTGGCAGTAATGGGTATGGCTCGCTCGTCCAGTTGTTGATAGCGGTAAGTAAAATACTGACACGTAGCAGTTTGGTTTTAGGATCTGCGCATCCATCAGACCCAAACAAGAGTTTATCCAGCTGTTACGGTTCAAATAACTGTTTTCATCGCCAAATTCTAATTATTAAGATTGGGGCAACAACAAAAACAACGAAAACTGTATCATATGACAACAGACACATCGGAGCTGTAGAGGTTAAGTACGCATGACATCGCAGATATAGCCTATATCACTTGGTACGGCAGGACCCGTGCGTAAAATGCCTTTCTCCCGAGAAGTTCAAAAAAATCCCAATATGAACAAAAGCCAACTTACCACACATGGTTCAAGCCTAGTCGTCGTTTCTGAACACCTTCTTGTGAGAAAATGACTCGTAGTTTCTCGTAGTAGTTTGGAGTGATGCGTCTGCCTCTGTGCTGTGTTAAATGCAGAGCGACTGCACACTCCCACTTTCATTTAAATGGTGTTTCCTGAAGAGGCAGCGGCGGTGCCTCCTCCTCTGAAAGCTTCCTCGTTCTGTCAGCAGCGTCCTGCTGCCTCACCTGAAGAATTTGTCGATATTGGTTTTTCCCCCTTACCTCTGTCAGCCAGGGTTGAAACTAGAGAAGTTATTTTATCTTGCCAATCATTTCCTTGTCTGAACATTTATTTTCTTTAAGGTTTGTTTTCTGACTTCTGATGTCAACTTTTACATTTTTTTTAAAATTATTTTTCCATTTCCCAAATCAGACTAAGAGGCATCATTTGATCATTAATGTATTCTGCTTACTAAGCAGATTGTTTTTGATGTCACTTAAAAAAATTGTCTCACTGTCTTCCTTGTGAATTAAAGGATATCTGATTTTTATTTTTGAGTTTTTATTTTTCATCTTGAACATTTACTAACCCCTGAAAATAAAAGCAAACAATCTAATTGAATGTAATGCAGAAAAACTCGGATTTTTAGATTCAGTAGAATGTTTTTGAAGCTTTTTTAAAAAAAAATGTATTTCTACATAGTAAAAAAAAGAAAATCTATTTTTGTTCTTGTATGGTGACTAAGCTGCATTGTATTGTAATGCACTATACTTAAGTATTAGGGAGAAGCATGTAATTACGGAATGAGCAACAGAGAGGGAAGTAAGAGCTGAGTTATGAGGTGTGTTCTTGAACATCAACGACATGCTGCACTTTATAGAAATAGAAACTGAAGTATTGAGTCTCCTTTTTTTACACATCATTTCAGAATGTAATCTAAGGGATCTCTACAGATTACTGAACTAACCACACAGGTACATGAACATGTATCACACTGTATACATCAATGTGAACCCACTTCATTGACCAAGACCCAGAGCTGGAAGGTCATCATGGTCATCTCTTGCAGCTTTATTCCAATTTACTGGTCCAGGAAATAAAACTCTAAGCTCTCCTATGGAAACCAGTTATCATTTGTGTTGTTGTTTTAATCAGCGAAAGACCTGAAACTATGTTTCCAAGGAACCCACGGGTGCAGGAGAAATTTAGAAATTCTTCTTGTGTGACAAATTTGCTGTGAATTGTCCGAGGTGTGTTTTCTGAGGAAGATGAAGCCAGATGCTCTGACAGCACTTGTGTTCCTATCATGTATGTAACAGGCTTCTTCCTTGAAATTCTGAACATATCCTGGACTCTGGAACGTGTTCTTTAACTTCATGTGAGTAGTAAACATTGAAAGGTTTATATTTATATAGAAGTATTATTGTGCTGCAAACTCCTCCTAAATTATTACCAGGAAAGCAGTTATGTAGGTCACAGGTATCAAAGTGATGGGTGTCAGATAGACGGCCTATCTAACACAAAATCTCATTCACAGACAGTCTTATGAGATGAGATTAGTGTTGGATTTAAAAAAAGAAACGTTTAACATGAAGCAGAACTTGTTTGACCCATGTAACCAACCAAACGTCCAAATCGAAACAGCTTCCCGACACTGAGGTCATGCACTAAGTGTAATTTTTCATCCTTATCACTTTACTGCTACTGCTACCAGTTTGCCCCGCACAAAGGTCTTGGCAGTTTTCAAATCTGATGCCAAGCAACATTTAGCTCAATAATGATTGACTGAAACTCATTTACCTGGAAAGGTTTATCTGGCTTTATTGCATTCAAACTGCTTGTGCATAGGCAAAATATGGAGGGGCATTAAATTCTTGTATAAACTATGGTTTCATTATCGATATAAACTACAAAACTACTGTTGGACTATTAAGAAACATATATGAAAGATGTCAGTGAGTGGCAGAAAAAGAGTCTGATACAGTTTATTTCAGTTTCTGCCTGATGCTCAGTTGGATGGGTACCAACAGACAATAAGTGGAAAGACACAAGCAGGGAGGGACGACTTTATTAGATAATTTCTTTTTTACTGAGGTTGACATTTTAAACATCTCGTGATTTTACATGGGATTACTTTATTTTGTTCTTCATATAATTATGCGTTGAGGTGTGCTGAGGATGTGCGTGAGTGAAAACTGGTGACAGAAGCCAAAGAACCACATTCCTCCTCTGGCTTAAGGGATTAATTAATTTAATTGAGTGTGCACCATGGCTGTGTTATCCAATGAGATCCACCCCAAAGATCAAAGGTTCCTTAACTACTACAGTGATATAAAATGAAGGGCAAACCGAGTGGTTTTGCCTCAGACAATCAAGGAACTTAGTGAATTTTAACGTTATAACTGGTCTCAAGCCTTTCATATTTCACTTTTGGTTTAAAATTGTTTAACTTAACTGCTGAGACAGTGATTCATTTTCTTTAATTGCTACATGTTTGTCATATTTGTACATCAGGTGGTTTACGTCACAGCATGTACAGCATATAATGTTTATGAGGATACACCCTAATACACTGGTGTTATATGCTGTGTGATGACAGTGTTCACAATCTCTGACCTTATAAAAACACAATTAAAAACACAGTGAACACATTCAATAAGAATAATAGATTATCAATTAGAGGTAGCAGGTACAATATACAAATCAAGAGATGTTGGCAACAGTTGTTGCACGCTTGAAGGTTTGAACCCGAGTGTTGTTACTGTGTGAGGGGTCACTTTCATTATATAAACTGGCCAGTATAGTCGAGACATGGAGATAAATGGAGCTGGAACTTTGGCTTAATTCAATGAGGAAACACTTCAGCCTGGACTATGTGATTTAGATTTGTAAAATGTGACATCCTTTGCTCGATTGCACAACACGTGTCAGGGGTATAAAATGAATTCCATGTCCAAGGAATGAATCATCACTCACACATTTTGTTTTCAAGGAAACACACAGACACACACACACACACACATGCACACACACCCAGGTTCTCGTATTTTCCCTGCTTCTACGTGTAGCCTACATTCAAGTTGTGAGTAACCGGATGTGGCTTAAGTTAGTTGAGCGTCTCCAGCTGACTGCTCAGACCATGTTGTAGGGGATCTCCCCTTACACATCTGCTTTATGTTAGAGCCTGAGGGCCACTACAGAGGGGCCCAAAGATGCACTCTGCCTCTCTCTGTGTGTTGCAGTGGGGGGATTGCAACACAGAGACACACAGCCAGAAGACAGAAGTTGTAAATATAGGACAGGTTGCATTTTTAGTTAAACTCACAAGTGATTGTTTCCCAATGGTGCCAAATACAAAAAGGAGAGCACAACCCGGTTTTGAAATCAGCCAATAATAAACACAAAATCATACATGAGAAGTAAAACAGTACGATATCTAGAAATAAACAAACCCATGTGGGAGGTTTATTTGATGTAACTTAAAGTGATTTTTTTTTTTTTATGTGAACAGTGGTGTCAAGTCTTTATTTCCTTTTGTTTTTGATGTTGAAACAAGTTTTTGATCGTTTCAGATAAGCAAGAGAGAGACTCAAAACTCTCAGGTATAGATCTCAGAGAACCAGATGGGATACAGCTTATTGTAATATTCTAAACATTTCAGATGTACAGTTTTATTCAGAAGTTTTAATTTACTGAAGAGAAAACATTCAAAAGTAAAAACTGTATGTACAGCTCAGTTTGTTTTATCCCCTATGTATATTCCCAGTGCACTGCGGCAGAAGAAACTTCCAAGCTCTTTCTTCTAAGGGCTATCTGGGGACATGTCAATGCAGAGAATTTATTATGTACAGCAGTTTGTTGTTGCATAACACACATCTGATTTGTGTGTGACCCACATCTGTGTTAAGAGTTGTAACACTGTAACCCTATACCCCAGGTGGTGGGCATGACTGATGTTTACTTTCACAGAATACAGTACCGGAAGACTGCTATCAGCTTTGCTTAGGAATTGTACCGTCCAAACCTCAACCGTCTCAGCCTGGTGGGTTCAGCTCCAGGCCAGCTCACTGTGAATCAAACCCAGATGTGGCTCTGCAGTCAGACGGCACAGCATACGACATAAAGGGAACCCGCCCAGCAGCAAACGTCAAAAAGAGACCCCCTTAAAGTCCCTGGTCAGGTTTTGTCACCAGCTGTTGGGGTGAATAACTAGATTATGTCTAAAAAACAGAACATTAGTCAGCGAGGTCGTTTGTGACGCTTGGTACAAAAACAAGTCGAGAGTTTATTGGATACGTTTGAACTGTAAGCTGTACGGTAAGAAAGTCTTGACTTGCTCTTGTAGATGTCATTATTTTATCACAGCATCATTTTTAGCTTGACTCACACCATTCATCTTGATTGTCTTTAAAGCTGTTATAATCTCACAACATTTTATTTCCAAGGCAACAGCATTTTCCCCCATAGTTAAACGTTTTTATTGCCACTCTTTTATGTAGCTCAGCGCACTATCTGGTTTTATCTGTACTTACATTTATGCACTGATGAGAGAATTGTCCAGTTTACAAACTTGTCCTCCAACATGACCTTTTTTAAGAGCACATTTAGACATGGTATCACGAACAGGCACAGACCACTCATAGGAGTGAGATGATCTTTGAAAAATGTTGTAAAACTGGCAATGCTTTCTGTGTTTGTGCCCACATCATGGTGGTTAGGCAAAACTTAGCACATCATAGTTGAGCCATATGGGCGTAAAGAATTTTAAATACTTTCAGCTGATTAAAAGTCATCGCTTTCCTGGTTGTTAAGGAAGGAATTTAGCCCTTCTGGTTAAGTGAGTGTGCTATGTCTGATTGCAGATTATGTTTGTTTTAGTGCGTGGCAGTCACTTCGTCAGGGTGGTGCTTGCACATCTGTGAGTGAGCTCAATGAGCTGTGTGGGATCAGAGCAGAGTTTGGGGAGGTACAGGAGAAAGGGGAGCTAAGCAACAGCGTCATGTCGGACCCAGAGAGAGAAAGGGAGTCATCTGTATTATGTCATGGCTGCAGGGGCACTCCACCCTCTGCTCTCTATTTCTCTGTTCTGTGTTTCTCTCCCTCACAGAATCCCCCATCCACTCCGTCTCTCGTCTGGCTTTATTACTGTGGATGATTTTGGTTCACAGTTTCTGACACAGACATCA